TCGTCAACAGCAGCATCAGAATCTTCCTCCTCCTCTTCAGATCTGCCAGTGCATTCTTCCTTTTGCTGATTCTCCTCTCTAATTTTTCTTATCATTGAGACAGCTTTTTCTCTAACAGTCATGTCCTCATCTGCACACATACCAAGAAGAAGTTGATCTGTGTGGGCGAAGTATGCATTTCTCTGGACAGCCTTCTTCACTATCGTCTCCTCCTCACTATTCAGGTGTTTCATATATAGCAGGGACTGGAATACGTTCCTTGAGCGTGTGTTACGTAAGGGTGTATCTTGATGTAAAACCACATTGGAGCACTGAACTTTATTATTGTAATGACAATTCTTTTCAACTCATGGCTGGGTCTTGATGTTGCTACATACAACCTGAGGATTCTACTCCATAAGGTGTTCCACCTTGACACACAGGGAGGACCTGGCTCAATAGCAACCAAGTCATCTTCAACAACACCTGTGATAACTCCTTTACAAATCCTATACAGGTATTTCTGATCCCAGGACAGATCTTTCTCCACTTCATCATTAAACACAGGGAAATCAGGGAAACTGACTGGCTGGAAGGCGACAACTGGAAGCTCAGACAAAGACTCCTTGATCTGCTTTCCAATGGGAACACGCCAATGCTCAGGACCACTTGGTTTACCATCATAGTGATAAAAAACTGCGCGGAAAGGCAGCTCATTTCCGTGAAGCTGACATATGAAATAATGGAGCGGGTGACCAAGTAACATTTCAAGATGATGAATGACTCCATTTTCTGATCCTACATTTACATTGGTTCCATCACAACCAACACACACAATGGGCTGCTGGGTTAGATTTTTCTCCACCAGAAACTCGTGAATAGTTTTGGCAATCTGCTTTCCGTGTCCAGTCTTGGGAGTCACATGTGTGAGATATTCATTGCCAGGCTCAACCATGATGACATAATGATCTTTCACCATCATCCTCGAACTCCATTTCTCGGTCTTCTCATTCTTTATCATCACACGAGTGGCGGTCTTCTTACCATCAAAATAGAGTGACGTCAAATTATCTAAACTAGCCATCTCAATTTCTTGCCTCTTAAATCGGTATTTTTGTCTCGCATCCCGCAGCTTATGTGGTCCAATAACCTGACTCTTGTCATCCTTTGTGATAATGCCATAGTCAGTTAAGGTGGCAGTAGCAATGGCAGCTCCAGCATAATCACTAATCAAGTATCGGTCACAAGCGGCAGCCAGTGTAGGGAGTCTTGTCCGGTTCTGTGAACTGGTGTCTGTCAGAGCCCTTGGATCAGGGACAAAATCAGCATCAGTATTGACGAGAGGAATATCTCTTGAATCATCTGAATTATCCTCAACATAAGGAATATCTCCAGCTACCAGATATCTATGTTTTTGCTCAAGCTGTCTCCTAACTCTGTCCGCATCATGCTTCTCTCTTGCCGTCACTCTGTCCCACATCTTCGTCACTTTCATGTCAACCCCTGCAATCTTCATCTTCCTATCACCTCGCTGGTCAAGGAGAAACTGCATCTCACGTTTGGGAACTTTTATAACACAATTACATGCCAGGTGATATCCGTCACACTCCTTAACTATGCACCTCACATCCTGACAGGAGGCAAGGGGACAATAACAGCTACAGATATCAAACTCTTCTTTCATTTCTACCTGAAATGCAGCTTTTTTGCCTACATTCTTGTTCTTATTTAGTTCAATTCCTCTACTGTACAATTTTCTCAACCTTTCCTCAATAGTTTTTTGGCTAAGAAGAGGAACATTCTGCCTATCTCCAATTGCTTTTTCCCATATTTCTGAACAGTCCTGGGCGGCCATCTTTATAATCATTGAGACATCTGCAAACTTTCCGTCATCACATTTATATCGCCAGCAGTTCTTTAACATCTCGCCTTTCGAGGGAAGTTTGTCCACTGGAAGAACACTTGCAGAGCCAAACAATGCATGATCTGTGGCTGCCCTCGTTAATACAGTAGCCATCTTGATAGCAAATTGATCAGATCACCTGAAAAGAAAAAGAAAAAGTTAGTTATTAGAGCAATTTCTGAAAACACATCATCAATAGGCTTCTTGTGCATTAGTAAATAATGCCAAAATTAGTTAATCAGAAATATAATGTAGCCTAATTCAAATAAATGAAAATGGAAAGTATGTAACTAGTACTGTGCCGCCAACTTGCCCCATTTTTGTTGAGCCAACTTGTCCCAGCCGTACCAGTGATCATAAATAAATTATTTTGGTATATATCAAGAAGCCTAACATGAACTGTTTCATGGATAAACAATCCTTAAGCGCTAAGTTGAATTATGGCTAAATTGGATACTACAGTACTTGTCTATAACCTCACACATGTTACAGCAAACCTTATAAGAGAATAAAATTTACTTACCAGCATCAAAATCAATTTTCCCCCACTCTAATCAAGACGTGCGGCGTCTCAGAATGACTGCTTATGGGTGACTGAGGAAGCACGTGGTGATCCTGCGGTGTGAACTGCTTAACGGTAACTATTTGAATAATTTCAAGTGCGCCAACTTACCCAGGTCTCCCCTACATTACAGTACAGTAACACAACATTGAGAAATGAAATGAGAAAAGGCTGATAATCAATATAGACATAGCACCATACTCATCTGCAACAAGACAACTTAAATGAAATAAGAGATATGAAAAAAAAGTTGATAAACACTGAACAGAACATTGCACCGCCACATCGGCTGTTTGGCTAGTACTGTAGGTAAATTAAAAAATTTCAGTAGAAAATGCGGCAGACTAAACCTCGACATATCAGCTTCAAATTTGGCATGGAGTCTTAGATATGTATAAGGAACAATGCCTGAAGAGTGCAGCTTTGAGCAAAATTTCACTGCCCCCTACTGTACATACAATATATATACAGAAAATGCATTGTGAGTTTCTATTCTACCTCCATCCTGAGTGTGAGATATCTAACATGTACATACGTATGAGAGCCCATACAAAGAGATAATAGACAAACAAAGAGAATTTGACAACTGGCCACATACAGTACGCTACAATTGGTGACCCTTGGAGCTGTGAACACCACACTCTCTCTGCTGCCTTACTCCTGGAGCTGTGAGGACCGCCCTGTCTGCTGCCATTGTGGGCCCCCTGCCACTCCACCACTACAGCGCCGACACCATCTCACAACCGTTAGGTTTATAAAGCATTAGTTTGTTCTTCCCACTGGTGGTGTGAGTGACCCACATCACAGCTGGAGAGCAACTATTGCAAGATATTCCAGACGTGATTTGAGCTCTTTTGCCTACTCCTACTATTTTTCTTTTGTTTTTTCGCTCTGGCCTAGGGACCTGCACCCTCAAAAAGTGTATTCGCCCTGAAGTCCCCCCAGTAACTGTTCACCTCCCTCCCAGGAGATTGTGAACACGGAAGGGAGTCGGAACAAGTACCCATCCCTCATCCTTACCTAACTGGTGTGACGCACTCTCGCAAGAATGGAAGACAAACGGATCTCTCTACCAACCTTCAACCACAACATCGAGGACTGGTTAATTCATGTGGAGGCAGCCCTCAGCGGCTCAGAGGCTAATGACGCGCAAAAGTACGTCGCCCTGCTCTGTTCCTTGCCCACGGAAGTTGCCACGCAAGTCTCAGAGATCATTACCAACCCTCCAGCTGACAACAAGTTCGGTGCCCTGCGGAATGCTCTAAAGACGCGTTACCAGTGGTCCCACACCAGTCTCCTGCAAAACCTATCCTCTCTCTCTACCTCGGCAACTCAACGCCTGCACGTCTCTGGGACGAGATGTGTAGACTGAACTCCCGGCACACGGACAGGCTTCCCGACACTGTCCTGCGCCATCTTCACGCACAGAAGCTCCCCACACAAGTTCGCATCACCCTGTCCGCAGTAGATTACTCTACGACACCGGATATCTACGTAACCTCGGCAGACAGAATATTCAACGAGTGCGCTGCTCTGCGCCTCGCCACCGCGGACAACCAAACGGCCACACCATTACTTACCTCCGATCTTGTAAACCGGATCAACGCTCCTCAGTCGAGCAATACCTCACAAGACATCAGGGATCTGCTGCAGTCTCTACACCGCAGGATGGACACCATTGAGCAGCTCTGCTCCTCCACACCTGCTGCTGGGCCTGTTCCTGCCCCACGCACCGCGTCCTACAAACCCCGACGTCTTCTTTCTGCCCCGGAAACCGCCGCCAGCTCCCAGCACAGTGGACCTACCCTCTGCTGGTACCACAAACGTTTCGGTGCCAATGCTAGACATTGTGAGCCCCCCTGCAAACAATGGTGCTCCCTCAGTGAGGTCGTGGGCTCCTGGTGGCCATGGACGTAGGGGACCATTTGCACGAAAGCCACAACAGTATGCTTGGAGTGACTGCACTAATTTTATGCCTGACATACCAGTTTTGACTGTGAATATATACATATTTTTTCTTCCCAAATATGCCCGCGTCCGGCAGATCTTAAGTTGCCCAGGGTATAAGGGTTAGTTTAAGAAATAATAAAAAATTGTCCTTATAAAAATTTTCAAAATTCCTGCTGCCAGGTTTTTGCATGTATGGAATGGAAGCATTAATGTCTATGAGACATTTGACTTTTAGTGCTCAGATAAACAACTGATGATGGCAGCACCCTGAGGTGCAGGGAGCTAAGGTTTGTATTCATGACAGAAAGTTGGAAAAAAGAAATGTAGGAAAGTTGCAATTGGTCCAATTATATTGATATTCGAAAGGTAAGAAACTAGTTTTCTCATATAAAATTTGGTCCTAAAGTGGCTCAAAATATCATGCACTGTTGTAACCATTTACCATAAATAACAGAATAAAATGTATCAGTAACAATATAAAAGCTTTACTGGTCAAATTATTTGTGAATATTTTTCACTAGCTGTATCCAGGAGTCTGAGAAAACTAGCACATTCATTAATCAATAAAACAGATATTGAATAAGTAACATAACCTAAAACACTAACCTTGAGTGTTATGTCTATAGTAAAAGGTGTCACCGGGTTTGCAGTCAGTCCAGGTTTTATCTGTTTCATCTCTTTAAATATACTCATCTGAATTTGTGGAACATTGTTAAGATTAGAAGGCTGATCATTTGAAATCATTGGTAGTCCACTGGGGCCAGTTACAGATCTCATGATGTTGACAGCTGGTGGCTTATCACTGTTGTCTAGTAAGAGTCCATCACTTATATTTACAATGTCCTCAATAACACTGATATTAAATCTCTTATGTTCTTCATTCATTTTATTGTCAGTTTTTAAGTATTTTGTTTTCAAGATTTGAAATTTTTTGTCATTATTACGTTTCTGGGCATCATGAATACAAGTTTTTTGTTGATCACTGCTATTCATGTAGAGTTTTGTTTTCATACCCTGGAAAAAAAAGAAAGTTATATATTGCAAATACTGGTAGTCACATAAAACAAAAGGCATTTTGAGTGATGAGCAGACAGATTTTGCTTCAAGAGAGAGAGAGAGAGAGAGATTCCTGCAGCACAGGGTTTTGTGCTCCAGTTGGTCTTCATGCCAAATTACACATTAAACATACTAAAAGCAATATGGATACAGACCACTGTAGAATATGCCTTTTCAAATATGATATATACAAAAAGAGATTGTGTGGCTGGCATTCCATTCATCTCTCTTCACTTCCCAATTGTAAAGTTAGGTAATAATTCACAGCAGAGAACTGGGGTGACCCTAAAGTCAAGAGGTAAGCATCCCTGAAACCAGAAATATATACACATGGCAATCCCTTTTCATGTGTTTCAAATTATTACTATTACTATTACTATTATTATTATTATTATTATTATTATTATTATTATTATTATATATACAGTATTACCCCGCCTAACGCGGTTTCACTTAGCGCGTTTTCGCATATACGCGGTGCCTTGCCAGAGCTGAACTTTCACTTAACACGGATTTTTTCCACATATACGCGGTGAGTGTCCGGCTCGAGATGCTATTTTTAGATTTTGCCCACGCGCCACCCGCCCGCCTGCCTGCCTGTGCTCCTCGCCTCTCCCTCCTCCTCCCTCCGCTTGGGCAAGCCGCGCGGTAAGGTTGCGCAGTGTGTCTTTGTTGCGTTATCACTGACGTCATATGACGTATCGGACTGTGATTGGCCATGCATCCCTACCCCCCTCTGCTGCTAGCTGTAATTGGCTTAAAGTATTATGACGTGACCACCCCGGGGAGGGAGGGAGGGAGGAGAGACGACGCTTGACCTAGCCGCGGCAGTTTCATCCCTCAAGGCCACCCCGTGTTAACGCGCATCCATTGTTCCGTAAAATGGCTTCCGCCGGACCACCACCGCCCCCAGAGAGAGACCTTTCCTTACCTGGACCCAGCGGCACTAAGCCAAAGAAGACACGACGTTCATTAAGCTACGAGGTGAAGTACCAAATTGTTCAAGATTTGGAGAAAGGAAGACGGCAAGTTGATCTCGCGCGCCAGCATGGCGTCAACGAATCTACGATTCGTACGATCAAGAAGGATGCAGCCAAGATCAAAGAGCACATGAAAATCACAAAGTCTGCAGGTGCTTCATCTATCAGGTATTGCCAGAACAGGGTGCTGGCAAAAGTGGAAAATTTGCTGGTGAGTTATTTGGTGCGTCAGGCGCGACGCAACATGGCGGTGGACACGCGCTCAGTGCAGGAGTACGCACGTGAGCTATACGCAGCAGTGACACGTAAACTGGGAATTGCAGAGCCCAAACCCTTCAATGCTTCCTCTGGTTGGCTGCATAGGTTTAAGAAGAGGAACAAGATCACCAACATCAACATTGGTGGTGAGGAAGCGAGTGCTGACCGTGTGGCGGCTAGAGATTTTCCTCCGTTTTTACGTGAGATTATGGAGGAAGGACAGTACAGTGACGACCAGGTGTTTAACATGGACGAATCTGGTCTTTTCTGGAAAAAGTTACCTTCCAAGACCTTCGTTGTCCAGTCTGCCAGCAAGGTAAGGGGTCGGAAGTTGCAGAAGGAACGCATCACCGTCCTGTTTACCACCAATGCCTCCGGTACCTGTAAACCAAAGTTATCGGTGATTCACACAGCCCGCAAGCCGCACGCCTACAAGAATATGGACATGAACAAGCTTAATGTCCACTGGCTAACCGCACGTAAGGCGTGGATGTCCTCTTCTCTGTCCCTCTTCTGGTTTGACAACTGTTTTGTTCCTGACGTGCAGAAATTCTGCGAGCAACAGAATGTTCCATTCAATATTTTGTTGCTCCTTGACAACGCACCTGGACACTCGCCCCTACTTATGGATCGTCACCCCAACGTAAAAGTGGTCTTCCTTCCTCCCAACACTACGTCATTAATCCAGCCCATGGACCAGGAGTTGATCTGCAATGTGAAAGCTGCGTACTCTGCAAAGAAGTTCAAGCTCCTGAACGACTCTACCAACACCAAGGATGAGTTGCGTAAGCTGGGTGACACCGACAGCGAGAGCAAAAGCGACGAGGACAAGGAACAAGAGGCGGTGACTCAAGAACTTCTCGTCAAACAATTTTGGAAGAAGTTTAACGTTAAACAAGCTGTAGACTTCTTGGTGGAGGCATGGGATCTGCTGACTATTGCTACGATTCGTCACGCATGGAGACATGTGTTGCATGGCATACCAGGTGAGAGGAGGAGTGAACCTGTGACTGGTGAGGTTCAGACTGTTGCAGTAGCAGTGGACCTTGCCAGAGAAGCTGCGCTCAATATTACAGCTGAAGGCTTCTCCGAGACCACCAACGAAGACATCCTGGAGGTGATCAAAGATCCTGAAGTGACTGCCGACGAGATGTTGGAAGAAGAACACGCCAGTGAAGAGGAGGAAGAAGGTGCGTCATTCTCCGAAGAACCTAGTTTAAGTCATAGTGATATTAAGTGTGTCATAGAGTTTACAGAAAAAATTAAGTCAGTCCTTTCCCGCGACAATGACGATGAACGCTATGAAGTCTTCCATACCCGACTGGTGCAGGCTATGGAGCCGTACATCAAGGTGTATCACGACAACATCAACACCAGCCGTCAGCAAAGCATAACCGAGTTCTTCGCCCGCAACCCACCACAGCCAGCCCAAGCCAGTGATAGTGAAAGTGAAGTTGACTTTGAGGGATTTGTCAGGGAAGCCCTGACAACGGTAAGTGACAGTGATGTTGATTCACCTAGTAATGGTGATTCACCTGAGGGCCAGTAATCTGCCCTCTGCCTCGGAACCAGCCTCCATCCCCGTATGCCGACCCATCTCTTCTACTACCGTAAGTGTTCCACAAAATTTTTCGTTTTTTAACCTATTCTTTATTTTTCCTATGTTAACCTTTATCTTTCCTAACCTAACCTCTTCTATATTACTTGTTTTTTCATACCATCATAAAGTTAAGATAGAATTTTTACTACAACATAGTTATGTGTCGTCAAAAAGTGGAGTTTGGGGGTCGGGCTGGGTTCTATTGGAATTAATCCCATATGTTCTGTTGTTCACTTAACGCGGATTTCACTTAACGCGGGACCCTCTGGGTTCAATTGACCGCGTTAAGTGGGGTACAACTGTGTATATATATATATATATATATATATATATATATATATATATATATATATATATATATATATATATATATATATATATATATATATATATATATATATGTATGTATGTATGTATATATTATATATATATATATATATATATATATATATATATATATATATATATATATATATATATATATATATATATGTATGTATGTATATATATATATATATATATATATATATATATATATATATATATATATATATATATATATATATATATATATATATATATATATATATATATATATATATATATATATATATATATATATATATATATATATATATATATACTTCATTTTTAGTCCATATAACACGCTGACTTTGAACATATAATCAACGACCTCACCAGCAAGGAATCGAACCCTCGACCTACTGGGTGTGACTAGGGAACGCTTACCGGCTAGGCCACAAGGACACTAAAAGCAGTTCTAGACTCTGTTATATTTCACACAAAGCCTGTTCATCGAGCTGATGGCGCCGTGAACCTCATTGGGAAACTGCCCGTGCCTCTTATGTGGTGTCAGTAGCATTTTACCGAATCCAGCTGGTATGAAACGCGAGGTACATATATATACTTCATTTTTAGTCCATATAACACGCGGACTTTGAACATATATACTGTATATATATATATAATTTGTTTTTTTTACTGGAATCTTACTTCAACCTAAGAAGGATACCCTGTACTAGAAATAAACATCTGATGACTTCGTCAAATACAGTAATATACATATCTGGAATCAGTGGAAGCTATCAGTACAGTTATCTGTCAGAAATAATTTCTTTGAAGCAAGAGTTGTAAGCTATTGGAATAACCTGCCAAAAGAATTTGGTGACCCAATCAAGTGTGAGCTCCTTTAAGTCCTCATCTTACAAACATTGCTAAATGATCAAATACATTCAAGAGCCTGTACATGCCCAGTACTTGAGTAACAGTGCATAACAGATTATATCAACTGCCCAACTCGCTAGTATAATAACCAGAAAAAATTGCATGGCCACCATTAAATTACCTTCTTTATTTGGTTATTTTCTTGTAATATCACATACCAAATGGAATACAGTAGGCCCTTCAAATTCCCGGAGGGTTAGGTTCTCAAAATGGCAGCGAATCACCAAATCCTTGAATAACATTTGCTGACGGGGGTGTTATTTTTACTTGTGTACAAAGAAATGTATATTCCCTTTATGTGTTTGCTCTTAGGACAATTATTTCTTTTACCTGTACTGTATATATGTGTGTGTATGTGTGTGTGTGTGTGTGTGTATATAAGCTTTGGGTAGAGTTCCCTTTAACTTGGCTTATACTGTATATAAATAAGTTGAAGGGTTAAGTTACAAACCCAAAATGGTCTTTTCTCCATTTATTGGTAAAACTATATTGGTCACAGTCTATTAGTAGATGCACCGTAATTAACACTGTAAGCTGTGAGTTTTAGTTAAGGACAGGGCTCAGCTTGACTGAGTTAGGTCACCCGTCTGCTTCTCGTGAGCTTCAAGTAAGGACTGGGTGCTGTGAGGGGGAGGCTCTAAAGGAGAGGCTGGGCTGACCCTACATTCTCAAGGTCGGCCTACTGAGAGGAATTTCCCCTCACGTGAACAGCACATGGCAGCTCACAGCTTAATGGAAAATTACCGTGATTGGATTATATAAACTAAATGTATTAACCCAAATTTATATAATTGTTATTGCCAAGGGACAGGGGCTAATACATGTATGTGTGGATCCCTGTCCTGGCCGCGAAAATGCCGGTAACTTCAAAAACTACCCGCAGATATTCTTGGGTACATCCAGGGTGTTATCCGCAAATAATAGAGAACGGCGAAATAAAAATCCGCGAATTATCTGGGCATACTGTACTGTATTGTACGAATAAACTTATCTATCCTGTAACTATAAAATAGAGATGATAGGAAAACAACTTGTGGAGTATTGACATGTCTGTTTTCTCAAGGGGAAAATTTATTGAGTAGAGTACTTATACTGAGTCTCACTTACTATTAGAGGTGAACAGGGGGGAAAATATGAAGGGAAATTTTCAATGGCTAGAACACTTCTCTTCTCTGAATGGAATTATCCATACACTGGGAATACTCACTTCCTTTTGAATTATGAAAACAATTTATGTTTTGGAAGAACCACAGTTTATGCAGCACATCTGTTACTACATTAAGTCCTCGCTTAACGTTGTTTTGGTACTACGTCGCTAAACTTAAGAGACCAAAATTTTATTAAAAGTCCTGGGGATCAGTTACTACGCCATTTTGCGTCGTCAGGGACTACTTTATACGGCTCATCACCCGCTCTCGCCTGGCCAAGCTATGCTGTCTCGGCTCAGCGCGCTGCCCTCACTTGCGGAACGTCATAGCGTCCCCAAGCGACGCCGAGCTAGTCTTTGTTACGACTTCACATCATTCATGTGTGCTTAAGTGCTTTTGCTCTAAAACTGTACTATAACCAATCGAAATGACTTCCAAGCGCCCATCAAGTGTTACTAATGCTAGTGTAATGAAGAAGCAATGTAAGACCATTACCCTTTCTACGAAAAATGGATGTATTAGCCCGTTTTGAAAAAGGGGAACGTGCTGTAGACATAGCCGCTGTGCTTGGTCTAACCCCCACAACAGTGCGTAATATCCGGACCAACGCTGACAAGATTAAAGTTAGTGCTGGAAGTGGTTCTTCTCTCTTCTCTGCAACTAAGACAACTCGTACTAGAAGCACTGTGATAGAAAAGGTGGAAAAGATGCTGGCTATGTGGATGGAGGACCAGAATCAACGCAATGCCCCTGTGAGCCTTATGGTTAACCAGCTTAAGGCCAGATCCTTGTTTGATGACTTAAAGGCAGAAGAGGGTGAAGGATCGAAGGAAGAGACCTTTACGGCCAGCCGAGGATGGTTTCAACGATTTAAGAATCGTCATAACTTCCACAATATCAACCCTTAAGCCCAGGGTTAGGGTGCTGCTGGCAGTATTCCCCCCCCTCCCCCCATGGGGAAAAATCTAGATTTTTTTTTCTTAAAAAAATAAATAAATAAATAAAATAATAATAATTAAAAAAGAAAAAAAAAAAAAATGGCGGGAAAATAGACGGACTTTCTGGAACGTTACCCGGAGCCTAGGGGTTAAGATGACTGGTGAAGCTGCTAATTCAGATAGGGTTACTGCCGAGACATTCCCGCTAGAAATCAAACGGATTATCCAGGACCAACCTCATCCACATTGAAGACTTGCTTCGATGAGTATGGTAGCCTCTACCATACTCATCGAAGCAAGTCTTCAATGTGGATGAGGTTGGTCTCTTTTGGAAGAGGATGCTTGAGAGGACCTATATCTCCAAGAAGGAGGAAAGAGCACCAGGTTTTAAAGCGGCAAATGACCGCTTGACCCTGCTGCTTGGCACGAATGCTGCCAGCGACTTCAAGCTGAAACCTATCCTGCTTTCTCCTCACTGCTAACCCACGGACCCTGAAACGTTACTCTAAGGATCACCTTCCAGTGATCTACAAGGTAAACAAGAAGGCATGGATAACCGGCGCCATATTTATGCTGTCCTTGCAATGAAGGAATACTGTGCCAAGGAGAAACTTGACTTCAAAATTCTTCTGATCATTGACAATGCTCCAGCTCATCCTCTCAATCTCGACGACTTGCATGACAGTGTAAAAGTTGTATTCCTGCCTCCCAACACAACAGCACTGATGCAGCCTATGGATCAAGGCGTCATCGCCGCATTCAAGGCGTATTATTTATGCCGTACCATGGCCCAGCTGCTCAAGGCTACAGACAGAGATAATAACCTACGATACAAGAATATTGGCGTGGCTTCAACATTCTTCCTGCAATTGACAACATTGGCAATGCATGGGAAGAGGTTTCAGAAAGTTGCCTGAATGGTGTGTGGGTAAACTGTGGCCCGAGTGCGTCAATAGTTTTACGGAATTCACGGACTTAGTCCCAGTAGTGAATAGGGATATCCTCAGCTTGGCTAGACAGGCAGGCTTTGATGAGCTGGAATCAGATGATATTGAGGACGTCCTGGCATCCCATAGAGAAGAGCTCACCAATGAGGATTTGCAACAACTAACAGAACACAGTCCCGTTGACGACGAAGAAGAACCTCAACAAACGCTAACTACCAAGAGGTTGGCAGAAGCGTTCAACTTGATCCAGCAAGGTATGCAAATCCTTGTGGATGACGACAAAAACAGAGAACGTAGCTGAAAGATTCAACGCAGCATTGATGACAGTCTTGGTTATTACACCGAGATGTATAAGGAGAAGAAGAGTAGCACCAAGCAGTCAACACTGGATTCACTTTTTCGTCGTGGGACGACAGAAGCAGCTTCTTCACAACAGCCGGCAGCTGAGGAGGAGCAAACAGCAGCAGAGGAACCCCAGTCAGCACAGGAGGAGGAGGCAGCCGCAGTCTCAGTGACTCACCACCCTCCTCCCCTCCCCTCCTCCACTCCTGCCAACCACCTCCTCTACTTCACTATCTACCAGACACCTCCGCCCATCGGTGAATACCCATACAAACTTAGTACAGTAAGTACTTGTAGTTGTATATGCATGCACTATTTTCTATAGAAATGGCAATGATTTTCTGTATATGTAATGTATTTCATGGAGCATAGGGAGGCTCGGGAACGTAACTTCCGTATTTTATCTATTTCTTATGGGGAAAATTTATTCGCTTAACGTTATTTCGTATAACGTCATGTTTTCAGGAACGTAGCCCCGACGTTAAGCGAGGACTTACTGTATTTTCTTACTGTATTTTCTAAGTAAAGAGAGGTGACAATCAGGAAGCTCTAACAAGCATGAAAAGTTTTACACTTGTTTTAAAAGGTGTATAAAATCCTGGTAAGCACCCTAACTAGTACAGTAAAACAAAATACTTACCTCTTCTGACTCATCAAGGGTTGCTGGGATATTACAACACTTCTTGGTAAAATCCATCCATTCCTGAGTTGTTTGCTGCCAATACAGTAAGTTACTCATAGTCTGTTCCATTTCCACTAAATTTGTAGTCTGATTTAAATCTCTGTGGGCTTTCCTTAACTCTTGACATCCCAGCTTGCCCTCATGCTGCACTCGGGCCATTTCTGAGTGTTCATTAACCAGAACCCCTATAGACTGTCTAAGAGTGTAAATCCTGGCATATAGTGTTTGAATTTGCTGATTGTAGCCATCAATAATGTAATTTATCTCATTAGTTTTTCTTTCAATTACCTCGGAAATACGATTACAATGTTCGATTTGATTTAAGAAAATGTTCTGTCCTTTCTTCTTAAGACGCAGCAAATAATTTTCATAAGAGATTACATCACAACTATCAATATCTGGATGATTTAGGTTCTTACACATATAGCACATCCAGACCTGATGCTGAAGGCAATAAAAGAAAAGGGGATAATCAGGGTGTTCAGCACAAATACCAGCAGTACTCTGAGGAGATGCCAGTAATCCCGTTGACTCCAAGAAGTCCTCAATATTAATGTTGATGCTTACGGATGAGACAGAATTGATTTTATAGGAAGTGCGGCAACTAGGACACCTCAAAGTCTTTTTTCCAGCAGAGGTAACGAGGCATTTAGTGCAGAAAGTGTGACCACAGTCAAGAATACGTGGTCGTCGATCATCTGTGTTGTATCGAATCCAACACACCTTGCAATCTAGGGGTCCAAGGTCACCTAGGAATATAAAACCCATGACAGCATTAGGAACTATTCTACTGTAGAACACAAACAACTACAATTAAAAAAAAAAAATCCTGATTTCAAAATCAGTGGCAGGCCAAGTCAATACAGTACAGTATACCATTTCCCAATATTCTTACCAATCATATTTAATACACAAAATGAAAGTAACAGTATCTAGGGTCCCACTGCATGAGATCTAAAAGTAAACTAATTATATTATTTTTACTAAACTCACCTCATCTTACAACTCAATATAGTACTGTACAGCATAGTATACTGTATGTATTTGCTAAGTTTTGACTTTGTCTAAAAATTAGGTAACTTTAGTTTCTCTATCCTCTTTGTCCCTAACCCAACTTACTAGCCAGTTGGGCAGTCAGTCAGTTCTCTGTTATGCACTGTTGGCAAGCACTGGCTCTTGAAGATACCTAGACATGCTTCAGTGTTAATCACGTCAAGGCTTAAAGGAACTCACACTTGGAATTGTCACAAGATTCTCTCTCTTTACACCAAAGTTAGTGTCATGAAAAGTATCGCAATGTATGTACATATAATTGTACAGTAAATAATTCTCTATACTAAGTATTAGAATATTAAGTAGTACAGTATATAGCCTTATAATCCTAGCTTTTCCGAAGAGCTAACAAAGTACGGTAAGTACAGTATATAAATACCGGTACGCCATACATGACTAGGATATTTAAAGAACTTAATTGCAGGAAGTGGAAATTTATTTCTTCTAAACTGTGTTTCTTTAAATACCAATTTAATAAAAACCCAATTCATAATACAATAATGTAATTATTGATGAGTGACCCACCGCCGATTTTTCAAACAAAACAAATTTAAAATCAGTGCAATTTCACTGTTTTATAGTGGACACTGGCATAGTTTTGATAAACGTGTTAAAAAGTGGTTATTTCTAAATTAAACCTAACTCAACCTAAGTTGATCAGCAAAAACAAGCGGCAGAAGTGTTATTAGAAGACCAAACCAACCTTACTAAAGAAACCTACCAAACCTTACCTAACTTCCTAACCATGAAGCTCCACCCTCTGGACTGCCCCAGCATATTACAGTAAACAGAAAGATCTTTCAAAGATATGGTCGAATTTTGCGCTTTTTGTGGATGTGGGAGCAGACGTCAGGTCCGTGTGGCTCACAAACATACACTGGCGACTTGCATCGATCCGAAATGATTGACTGTGCACTACTGCATCACCACCAAAAAAGACAAAGTAGTGTGCACCATACAAAGTAGTGCACACCTAGTCGCATAATTATCTACCAAAGGAAGCAATTAAAAAATAAATAAAAAATATGATTACCGGTATCATATCAGAACTAAACTGATGAAAATATAGTAAGAATATAAACATCAAAACAAATATTGCATCACTAGGGTGGTCATCAATATGAACCTAAAATAATAAGTCTACTGAATAAAAACAATTATAATTTATAGTTTAGAAGATAGATTCAAATTAGGCTTAAAGTTTTCTGTAGCAATAGCCTCTCTAACCTGAACCTGACTTCTAATGAGGCAACCTTCCACTAACTTGAGATACAAGCATCACGAAGTGTAAGAGGATGCACTTGGGTCATACTAACGGTAAGGAGGCACATCACATGTTCCAACTGGATGAAGAAACTGATTAATAGATTGAATGCAAAAAGGACCTGGGTGTGATTGTTGACAATGAACTGATGCTGACGGTGAATCAAGCAACTAAACTAAAAGGTCTAAGGTCGTTCAGATATCTAGATGGTTTGTCCCTCGTAATGATTTTCAAGAGTGAGATGCTTCCCCACCTGGAGTACTGTCACCCCGTCTGGTACCTGAGATATGCTAAACAGTTAGTTGCTTGGAAATGATCAAAGGAGGGCCACCAGACTGGTGCCTGCACTTTGGCACCTCAGTTATCCAGAGATTAGAGTGCCTGCCACTGCCTAGCTTATACTACAGACGAGCAAGAGGTGACCTAATTGAGGTGTTTAAACATCTCCGAGGACACTACTCAGTCAAGCGTCCATACCTGGAGTTGGCGGACACCTGCCCCACAAGGGGTCACAGTTCAAGGTTGAAGAAGCCACAAGTCCAGAAAACAGAGAGGGCAAACTTTTTCAGAGAGAAAATTGTACTCTTAGAACAAACTGCCAGTGTTGTGATGGCACTGAGTGTGAGCGCTTTCAAAACCAGACTTGACCAACACTGGAGCAGGTTCAGATAAATTCTGGAGCCCATGCATGCCCAGTACTTGCCAACAGTGTGTAACAGAGATGTGACCAACCACCCAAGTGGCTAATGAGCCGATCAGTGGCGAAGAGGATAAAAGTAAAAAAGCAAAAATTAAACTGCCTGTATGAGGTACAATACTTTATTGTAATATCTTATAAAAGTAATACAGTAATATAAATGTAGCATACAATGGTATACCCAATACAATTAATTCAGCTGACAGAAAAATGAACCATATTATAAAAGTATACTCCAATTAATGTCAGTAATTATTAGTTACCAAAAATTACACAATTTAAACTCCAGGTATGTGTACTGAGAATAAGACTGGATTTACAAAATAGAAAAGAAAATATTTCCATGCACTGCAACTAAATACATATTTAAACATTTCCTGAAATTAGATACAGTATTAATTATGCTTTCATCATACTCTCAGTGAGCTAAAATGTAGGACACCTGCACCTGGTCATCCATGTCATCTATATATACCGGGTATTTTTTCATTTCCAGGGGCAGATCCGGGGGGTTCCTGGGGGTTCAGTCCCCACTTTTCCTCAGAAAATTCCAAAACTTTTTCTTCAATGCTGTAATGTACAAAGGCATTTTTGTATAATAACTACTATTGACCTCAGAATATCTCCAAATATCAAGTGGGCATGGCTTCAAAATGCCCAAGATATTGGTCAGATTTAAAAAAAAAAAAAAATCGGATCCAGAATAGTTAAGTGACAAGCAACAACCAATTTTTGTTGTATCACCAGCTATGCTAAGTATCCATTCATTTAAGAGTGGCTCAGACTACCACTATGGGTAATATTTTTTTTGTAGATACTCCTGTTAATTTTTTTTAGATTAATGCAACACTTCAAAGGCTAACTGACAAGTGACCTGTCGATGAATTATTTGTTTTAGTGTTTATTTTCTTACTACAGTATAGTCTCGGTTTACACGGATTTCTTATACAGTACGCGGTTGGTCATTTATGTGGCACCTGTCCAGACACGGCAATTATTAGTTACGCGGTACATTCCAGCATTTACGCGGAAAGTGGCGCGGATGAGCTGTGCGCTAGGTCGCTCTTACGTCACAGCTGGCGTCAGGTGACGTATCGAACTGTGATTGGGCCACGCATCCTTACCACCCACGCATTCCCTCCGCCGCTAGCTGTAATTGGTCTATTTAACCTAGCTTGCCCAGTCAACAAAACATAACCGAGTTCTTCACCCGCCACCCACCACAGCCAGCCCAAGTCAGTGATAGTGAGGATATAGACTTTGAGGGGTTTGACAAAGAGGCCCTGCTAGCCTCTGTGGTGGATAGTGATACAGGTGAGGGCCAATAATCTGCCCTCTGCCTCAGAATCAACCCCCCATCTCCTGTGTGCCCAGCCATCTCTTCTACTAACGTAAGTGTTAAAAAACCTAATATTATTGATATTTCTCTTAAATATTAATTGTGTGTGTGCATACCATCATAAAATTAAGCTGTTATTTTTACTACAACGTACATATTGTGTCGGAAAAAGGGTAGTCTGGGGGTCGGCCCAATCTCTATTTCAATTAATCCCATATGTTCTGTTATTTCGTTTACGCGTTTCTCGTTTTACGCGGACCTCCACGGGTTTAATTGACTGCGTAAACCGAGACTATACTATATATGTTCATCAGTGAGTACTGATATGATAATCATTTCTTGTGCTAATGCTTCGTTTGGTAGATATTTAGGCACCTAAGGTGCACTACTTTGTCTTCTTGGCGGTAATAAGGCAGGTGTTATGCTAAGTTTTATGTTAAGGTTAGGGTAGGTTAGGTTATAAAAACTGCAAACTAAAACAGTATCCTCTAAAAAAAAACAGTGAATGTGAGGCATTTTAGGTTAGGTTAGGCTTCAGTAAATAAAGGTAAATTTATAGTAATACACCTGTACTTTTCTCAATGTTTTAATATGTATTTCATAATGCTTAATAAATTCTAAGACATTTTTCTATGATATTTCTGCTGGAAATTAAGAATAAACAAGATATTAATTTTTCAATATTATTAGATTTCCTCAGTCACAAGTGTCACCATCATTTGTTTCCATCTGGCGGAAAAGGTCTTAAGCATCTACAGCTCATGTGCGGGGGTGGTGTGGGAGTTTCCTTTTGTCTTTGACAATGATAATGCTTGGGTGTGGCAGGAGCGGAGATTTGAATTTTCAGTACCAGATATGGCTGAATAGGTGGAAAAGCTGTGCCGGCATTGTGATAAAGATTATTTTACGTCAATTGCCGAGTTTCATCAGAAAAATGGTGAGAACATTTTTTTTTTTAAAACACAGTGTAACTGAATTACCAAAAATGTTCTTTGTCCAAGATGTGGGGGCATGAACAAAGGGTGGTCCAGTGGGGTTCTGCCCCCCTGGTTAGGTTGGGTTTTGTTGGTTGATTGGTATTTCATTTGATTTACTAAAAAAATATCCAACTTTTTCCATTAAGATTGTTGGGTTGGGGGGGGGGTCTCAAAAACTAGTGATTTCCATCAGAAATGAATATCAAATTCATTCAAAACTTATCAAATACCATAGGAAAAGCATATCTCTATTATCAAAAGAAACACCGGTGCCATATGTAAACAAGTCATGGTAAATTTTTACTTTAAGACATGAGTCTCTAGGGGTTGACCAATATGTTTTTCCAGTGTATTTTGATGTGTTTTAAGCGAATCTGTCCTTCATTTTTGGCGGAAATGGTTAGTTCCCCCCCCCCCCAAAAAATAAATAATGGGGTACAACCTGGGAAATCAGGGTTTTTGGGTAGGGGAGAAAACGGAAACGAGTCATCTGACCTAACAATACCTAACCTAACTCCTAGCCGGGGGCTCTGCCCCCGTACCCCCGGTAGGCCAAGCTTAAACTATCTAAATGTTTCAGTAGTTAAAAACTTTTGGGCTCACCATGTCCGAAAGTGCAATTCCTTAGTTAGAAGTGGAAGGACCAGGGATACTTAAGAATTGGATAGAATGATAGTCTTTCTCATAAAACTCGGCAATAAACTTAAAATAATCGTAGGAGCACAAATGACAACCAACCTCCACCACGGCCATCGTGAGGCTGGTCAATGAAATTACCCAGGCTGCTTCCTTTGAAAAAATTCAAATGTTATTGGTAAAAAAAAAATTTGCGTAATGATATTGATACCTCATTGGTCACGACTGGATGACGTCAGTCAACATTGCGCATGCGTGATGCGCAGATAACATTTCTTCGCAGACGAAGACTGAAAACTACTTAAAATCAATTAAATTCAATTGTGTCGCTATTATCCATTTCCACCATGTATATATAGGGTTCAAAGTGCTAAGACTAGCGAGATCTAAATGTTTCAGTAGTTTATAACTTTCGGGGGTGCTATGTCCTAAAGAAAAATAATACTCAAATCATGGCGACACTTGTGACTGAGGATATCTAATAATATTGAAAAAAATATATATCGGTTATCCTTAATTTCCGGCGGAAATATCATAAAGAAAAATGTCTTAGAATTGTCTAAACATTACGAAATACATATTAAAAACAGCGAGATAAATACCGGTGTATTACTATAAATTTACCTAAAATAATATCTGCACAAACTACGACAATTTCCTGTATAAAACACAATGAAATTGCAGCATTTTTATAATCGCTTACTATGCAAAATCGCCGATGGGTCAGTTGTCAATAATTACCACACACATTTTACACCCGAGTAAACAATTAAGTTTTCCTATCGTCCAACACACGCACGGGACATACACAACTCACCCTGTGATTGGCAATTTTGGAAAATATTTTGAAAATTAATTTTTTGAGGATTTGTGTGGCGCCGCGAATTTATAATTCCAAAGAGCAAAATTGGGTGGCTAAACTTTGAGCACCCCAAAGTCCAAGCATGACCAACGTTGGAGCAATATCCGGGTACAGTAAATTCAAGATTGTGAATACCCATTACTGTATATTTGCCAAAAGTGAGCAACAAAATCACCCACCCTTCCCGCTAAAAAGCCGACAAACTCGAGTGAGTAAAATTTAGAGTTGCGGCAAGTTAAGTGGAATGCTGTAGTGTTGTATAAAACACCAATGTTAAAAACAAAACTTGGACCAAAATGCAATTCATGTGAGAAACATTTTTATTTAAAGAGCCTAAAAAAATTAAATCAGAAGCGCTTTATTCTAACATATCCAAAAAGTGCGTTTAATTTCCCTAAAGCAACAATTGTAACTACAGTATACTTTATTATGGGCGATATCCTCGTGCATACGTGAGAATACGAGATTAATCGCAAATCTGGGGCTCGCAAAATGTGTCTTATGTTTAAGAAATCCAATAACTCAAATATATATGCACGAATTTGAATAAAAATTAATCTAAACATTCTGGAAAATAAGAAAAGATCACGTTGCATCACGTCACGTCATCATGGCGCAACAGGCGTATAATGTTACACCTCGTATCACTCAACGGTAAATTGACAGGTCTGATTAGTGAAATGAACGATGGCAATAAATAAACTGAGCACAAGCCTACAGAATATATATATATATATATATATATATATATATATATATATATATATATATATATATATATATATATATATATATATATATATATATATATATATATATATATATATATATATATATATATATATATATATATATATATATATATATATATATATATATATATATATATATATATATATAATATATTAGTTCAGTTCAGTATATTTATAGATTAAATAAATAAATAAATAAATAAAACATTCCTTATGACCTTGATATAGTACGGAAGTGGTTATCATTATTTCCTACCGTTAGAGAATGAATACCCTAGTCGCCTACACTTCTAATAGGGCAAATTGTCCGCTCTAGCGTAGTTCTTCTGTGATTAAAGTTGCGTTCTCTTGTAGTTTTCACGTATAGTAATCTCAGCTAAAATTGGAGGAACGTCGTTAAATAAACTGTCAACTATGATTATGGAACTTATTGAATGGGCATTAACTTACCATTATTCTCTGCCATATCTGACGGTAACAGGGTTACAATCTTTCATCACAAACATCAAGCTTTAGTCCCAACGTGTATAAACAATCTCTGTTGCAAGAATCGCATATTACACAATATATCATTTAATGTTCGACTCATCTATAAGGGTATTTCCAGTTGCAATTGCGATGTAAAGCAGGATTAAGATGCAGTGTCCCAGTAGCACCAGGAAAATTATAAACAAACAGCACTGGACGAGACAACTTTCACCAGTAACGTATCAGTGTTTACAGAATACTGAGTTATGCGTGTTGCATGGTCCACCGCCTGTAGCACTCGGCTGGCAGCGGGGGCGGCGGGAGTTGCCCAGTCTTAGAAAATTGGTGAGATTGCTCTTATTGCATCTTTTACTTCTTAGTAGCACGGAGGGGAAATTATTGCAAATTTATGATGTCCTGACTGAAGGAGCTATCTAGTTTTGAATATTTATCACCCGATTCAGTTAGGAACTAAATAAGATCAGGGCAGTTGGTGACACTGGGAGTCTCAGGCAGCCCAACTCTCAAGGTTGGCAGTACTGCGCAGGCCACACGTCAACAGACACCCTTCCTGATGGCACACTAAATGAATCTCGAGAATTTATAGTTGCAATCAGTAGTATTGACAATTCTAAGACACTTTTCTTCAGTGGCATTTTGGGCGCAAATTACGTATAAGTGAGATATTTAACCATTTTCATGTATGGAAATTTACGTTTCACTTGTTGCCATTAAACGAATCTCGGGAATTTATAGTTGTAATCGGTAATTTTGAATGTTCTAAGACACGTTTCTTCAGTGGCATTTCTGGCAAAAATTCGTTTAAGCGAGATATTAAACCTTTTGTTATGTATGTTTGAACGTGGTGGTTCACAGCCAGAACATCGAACCATCGATGTAGTCGTGTACACCCAGAACGACAAACGACTGTGGAGCTCCCTCGATAACTCGGTTAGGTTTGATTGTAGGTTAGATTCAAAACTGTTTTTCCTTTGGTTTTCGATGTGTATTGAACACTTTATACCTTGATTTTTATAGATAATCTCTAGATTCTGAGATGGGACGGGGGCTTTATCTCAGAAACTATTGATTTGCTCCAGAAATGAAGGTCAAATTCGTTCATAACGTCAAAACCCATCGGAAAAAGTTTCAATTCGAGTTAGAAGTTGTACCTTGTACAGGGAGGTATTACCGCCTGGGAAGATATTGGAAGCATACTGTGTTGTCTAATGGTAGACCCTGCTGCCATATGGCATCACAAAAATTGTGACCAAGTCCCAGGTTGCTGATCCGACTTTCTGCCTCATTTACACACAATTGCAGGGTCTCAATTGTTTCTCTTACTATTGACAACACAACATACATATATCATTTCTGACTAATGATATTTTTATTTTATTTTGTATTTATTTAAGGGTCTTTATTATTACAGGGTTATTATTATTAATAATTTTAATAAATTTTTATTACTATTTTCTTTTATTATAATTAGTATTTATTTTTAAATATTGTTATTAATTGTATTATTATTTTGTAATTGTTATTTATTTAATATATTTTTATTAATTTTATTATCATCATCAACATCATCATCATCATCATCATCATCATCATTAAAAATGACCTTTGCCCGAGTGGGCTAATGCCCGTAAAAAAAAGAAAAAAGTTAGCAACTGGGTGACTACTATAGTGTGTTTTACAAAGGAAAAGGGGTAAAATTATCGTTTTGGTCATACACCTATTTGGAAGTTGTACAACAGTCTTCAGAAAAAAATAAAATTAGGAGACACAATAAGGAAATAAATAGTGAAGAAAATATATAGAAATTTATGGAAAGAAAGACAAAAAAGGAAACAAAAGCCAATCAGTCAATAATAAATAAGAATAACAAAAAATCGGGCGCATTGTAAAGCTAAAATTTCTCCCTGACTCTTAAACATTACGAAGCAACCAGAGCAGCTCTTACGCTTCTTCTCTCGTGGCCAGGTGTTCGCATATTTGTGCATGAAATACGACGCATTTCAGGTTCGTTTAAGTCTTAAGTTTTGCACTTACAGAACTGTAATCAACTTGTTCACCCTTATTTAAAGTATCTTATGGGTACAGTAATGTTATTAAGGTTTCAATCATATTTGAGTAATTACCAATATTGTTAGACCAGTCACCAACGGGTAATGAAATCGGACAGCGCCCACTTCAAAATGAGCGTAGCCAAAACTGGTTTCAACTAGGCGTAATCCTTTTCAATTGTTTCACGCCATTCGGTTTGTTTTAGGTCCTATCCAATATACAGTACTACCATATATAGAATTATTTTTATTATTATATCACAGTTTTTTATTGCCTTACATGCCCCAACTCTTCAATATTAATCAAAATGTTCCCCTTAAACGGCATGATCCGCGTCTTTTCAGTGGGAGAAATCACTGATTGGTTGTTAGCCATTTGGGCGCTGCACAAAGCTAACGTCTGATCGAGGTGTTAGCTTTTCCCTTTAAATGTGTCATGCGCACAACTCAGCAGCAGCGTGTGCGCAGACAGAATAGCTAACTCGGTAGCTATTCTGTGCTTCTAAAATGCCTTAGGTTAGGTTAGGTCTCAAAATCAGCTGGTGATGAAGCCTAGGTTTGTCCGACGGTTTTTTATGTGTTTTATTTGATTTTGTTATTCATTTTCGTCGGAAATCACCGCTTTTTGAGATGCCCCAGCCAAAACGAGTGATTTCCGAGGAAAACCAATATCAAAATCGAATAAAACACATCCATCTGAAAACCTAGGCTTCATCTCCAGAATGATTTTGAGACCTAATCTAACCTAACCTAATATGTATTCACCATATATTAATCTAAACGGGGGCTAACACGCTAACGTGGACGAAGAGCGACCTTTGTACAGGGGTAAGATGAAAAATAACTAAAAATTTTAAGGCAAACATACCCCACACCTCGGTTATTATTCATGTGTGATGGATATGCAAAAGAAGAAATCTCATCTAATTTGAAGAGTTAAATAAAAAAAAAATGCATCAAAATAATAGTAGCTAATTATGGTCCAAAATTTAACTAATACCCATAATTTTAAACTAACCTAAACTTAAAATTCTAAAATTTGCTGGATGACTGAGATGATAATAATACTGGAAAAATACTTGGGTCGTATATCAACTTCCCCATGGTGGAACCGAAGTCTTTCCAACATTTGAAGAGAACTTGGGTTAGATTTGTTAGATTTGGTTAGGTAAGGTGTTTATTAGGTATTATTTTAGTTTCTGTTATCCAGGGAATCTTATGTGTTAGGATGGTTAGGTTCGGTTTGTTTACATAAAGTTAAGTTAGGTTAGATTACTTTGGATATCTAATTATAGGGATGACCAAAACTATAATTTTACCATTAATAAGTTTATTAAGTGTGATTATATTACTTTTTACTTCTTTTACTTCTATCCTCTTCGCTCATTAGCCGTTTGGACAGTTGTTCACGTCTCTGTTATGCACTGTTGGCAGCTACTGGGCTTGCAATGGCTCCTGAATGTACCTGATGTAGTATCTTGGGTTATTTAATGGGAGAATGAAGAGTCACATGGTCTGTCTGGCTGGCTGTTTATTCTCTGTTCTTGGTTACTGCGTGCCTAACACATTTTGTAAGAAGTAACATAATATATAATATATACATTCAATAAATGCAGCATATAAACATACATATATATATAACACTATTTTTCCCTTTCAAAAGAGAGCATGGCTGCTACAAATCCTAAATAAACAAAACTTACAGAATTACATATGGCAGGGAAGAAGAGAATAGAACACAACAAATATAACTTCCTAACTAAACAGTTTTGAAAGGCCTGTTCACAATTCAGATAATTAGAGGTCTAATTTAATTACAGGTCTCCTAACTCTGTTTGATCTTCTAGGACTATTCCCTCCATCAAGTTTTACAGGGGTTTTACTTGCACTCTGTGCATTATCAGTGACAGACATATCATCACTACAATCAGTTGACACAGTGAGTGGATGCTGGGAAACATCATCTTTGACATCATCATGATGATGATCATCTGAAAATGTGTCAAGTTTATCATCATGTCCTGGTGCTACATTCATCTCGTCATGTGCCTGAATGATGTGATCCACATGAACATACCTCAAAGAGTTACCACATTTCACTAAATATGTCCTAGATCCACATACCTTGTCGATGACACCAGTTATCCACTTTGCATGTACAGTACCATAACCTTTAGCCATGTTCCTAACTCTCACCCTATCATTTACCTTGAAAACTCTTTCACTGGAACTCTTATCATGATACATTTTTTGTTGAGCTTGTTTCCTCTCTACAACTTCAAACAGACTTGGCTTAACTAAACTTAATCTTGTTCTCAACTGTCTCTTCACCATTAACTCTGCAGGAGTACATCCTGTCACACTATGTGGCGTGGTTCTGTATCTGAGTAAGAAATTTGCTAGTCTGTGTTTCATTGATTTTCCTACAGTTCCTTGAATTACCTGCTTGGAAAGTGCTTCCTTTACAATTCTAACTGATCTCTCAGCTGCACCATTAGAGGCAGGATGATAGGGTGGGGTCAGTACATGCTTTACACCGTTGAATCTCATGAAGTTTTTAAACTCTGATGATTGGAATGGAGGACCATTGTCAGAAACTACCTCTTCTGGTATTCCATGTTCGGCAAACATTAATCTTAATTCATCAATGGTGCTACCAGCATTAGTACTGTACATGTGCTTAACATCAATCCACTTTGAATGACTGTCAATTAATACAAGAAATTTGTCTGTTCCCTTATCACAGAAGTCAATGTGTACTCTTTGGAAGGGACAGGTAGGCCATTTCCAGGTTTTCAAAGGTGTGCTGGGTGGCATACTCCTAACATTCTGACAAACAGAGCACTCAAGTACCATCATTTCTATTTCACCATCCAGTTTAGGCCACCACACAAAACTTCTGGCCAGTGCTTTCATAGCACATATACCTGGATGTTCAAAATGCAGTTCATTCAAAATTTGCCCTCTAAAACACCGTGGAATTAACACCCTCATACCCCACAACACACATCCCTGTTCTACTGATAATTGACATCTCCTTAAATGATACGGTTGAAAGTCTAAGGATGGACAAATCTCTGGCCATCCATTTAGTGTATACTGCAGGACTCTTCCTAATACAACATCTTTCCTAGTTTCATGAGCAATCATTCCGGAGGTGACTGGAAAATCTTCTGCTATCATGGTTACAGCATAAACCTTAGGCTCTACTCCATCATTTGATCCACTACCTGGCAACCTGGACAAAGCATCTGCATTGGAATGATCATCTGAACGTCTGTACTGTATCTCATAGTCATATGCCGACAATATCAAAGCCCATCTCTGCATTCTTGCTGCAGCAAGTGTAGGAACAGGTGATTTAGGACCCAAAATTGCCAAGAGAGGCTTGTGATCAGTTATTAAAACAAAATTCCTCCCATATAGATACTGGTGAAATTTCTTTACTCCAAATATGATTGACAAAGCCTCTTTCTCACCGTTAGGGTGAGAGTTCTCAAGGCATATGCAATGGGTCTTTCTTCACCGTTATCAATTATGTGACTTATGACAGCACCTAATCCATAGCCCTATGCATCACAAGCAAGCTTTAGTGTTCTACTGGTATCATAGTGGACCAAAACATCAGTACTAGACAGAGCAGCTTTACAATCTTCAAATGACTTCTGAGTTGCACTGTTCCATTTCCATGGTATCCCTTTCTTTAATAGTTCATGCAGAGGGGCTAAAACTGATGAAAGTCCACTCAAGAACCTTGAATAATACTGTATCATATCTAGGAAAGCTTTCAATTCACTGACATTTTTTGGAGCAGGTAAATTTACTATGGCTCCTACTTTATCTTCTACAGGTCTCAGCCCTTCTGCATTCACTTTGTAGCCA